ATATATATATATATATATATATATATATATATGCTTAACAGGGCAACAAGTTTTTGTACCTGCTGCCTTCTCTTTTTCTCCCGTGGACAGACCCAACTGCTCAGCCAGTTCCTTCTGCATAGGACCAAGCGTGTCCTTATATGGACAGCGAGTGGTCCAGTGATCCCCTTTACAGATACGGCAGGACACGATCTTCTGTCCTTTCAGCTTGTTCATGGGATCTTCATCTTGGTCTTGAGCATTCAAGTCCTGTAAAACAAGCAGGAGAATCACTTCAAGTTGGCATCGGTACAACACAGAAGTGAAACATTTTTAGGACTGAAATATCAAGTCCGAACTGAAGTTTACAAAACGCAAACTCAATTGGCAACACAAAAAATTTGTTGAAAATGGACTCACCTTCAGGCCATCCAAAATGTAGATGAGTTTGTTACTTTATTGGAACAGAGTTGGAGAAATGTAGCATTACATCACTTGCTCACCAATGGAGTGAATGGGTGCCGTCAGAATGAGAGTCCAAACAGCTAATAAAAATCACACAACTCAAATCCATCAATACAAATTTAGTAAAGTGGAAAGCTGTGTTTGCAACAAACAAATCCATCATTAAGGTATTTTATCTTTAAATAATCGCTTCTGGCCAAAAGACAGAGTCTATAATAACTCTTCCTCTAGTCCATCATGTTGTCCTCTCAAATCAAAATCCTCTCTTTTTTTTTTTTTAGAACTGTTTTGGCTTGTAAACGGTGCTTGAGCTGTGCATATTTCTCTCCTGATTCAGATGAGACAACTTTTTCATTGGAGACAGCAATATTATGGATAGAGGACTCACATTTTAGCCAGAAGCAACAGTTTCAAAAGAAAAATGTCGTGATAGATTTATTACAAACATGCAGCTTTTCACTTCAAAAACACGACAGCTGTTTGGACTCTCATTCTGACGGCACCCATTCACTGCAGAGGATCCACTGGTGAGCAAGTGATGTAATGTTAAATATCCATTCCCATGAAGAAACGACCTCATATACATCTTTGATGGTGAACTATTTTTTTAAAAACATGGATCAGTGCAAAAACGTCATTAGTTTATCACCATCATACCTCTTTACTGGAGATGAAGGTCATGAAGACGTCATCACTCACTGTAGTGGTGGCAACATTGGGACCTGGTGCATCCGATTCCGAGTTGCCAAATTTTTTCCAGTTCTGTTGGAATAAATAATCAATCCCCCCTTCATACTTCAATGTGACTCTTGAATAAAAGCTTTATAAACAATAACATATTCACTGTTTGTTGTTAGTTTTAATACAGTAATTGACTGATTCAATGTATTTGATAGTTAAAATGATTACAAATTCAGGTTTTCGTCACCACCGTCAGATGTGTCACCTCCGTCAGTTGAATATTTTGATAATATTTCATTATGATATTTTATATTTGTTGTGGAATTGTTGGTCACATGTGAAAGTGTAATCTGTCTGCTAACACCAGAATGTGTTTTGAAATGTTAAAAACATCTTGAATGCTGTTAAAGATAAAGCTGAAATCATATTACACAGTCCAAGGTAAAAAAGCACATTTTGTTAAAAAAAGAGAAAAGTTGGGAGGTTGTATCAAAGCATAGCTCAGTACATATAAGATACATAAATGTAGTTTCATTCGTCTGAGTACAAGGTTTTATTTTTTTAAATTTTGCACCGTTTTGTCCCACTTCTCAAGAATGACTGAGTTGTCTAATTGTTAGTTGCATTAATGTATGAATTGTTACCTTGTTTGTGATTCAGCTCTGTACCTGCTTTTACCATGCATCTTAAAAACGGTTACTTCATCTGTGCCAGTTTTCTGACATTATAAAACGATAGTTGGCAAAAAAAAACAACTTAATTTGACAATCATTTTGAAATTGAGTTTATAAGAATGAAAAGAAAAACCCCCCGCTTCCGCTCAGTTGTCGTCACGTAATTCAGATGTTTTACAGAGCATGAACATCTTTCAGTTCTCTTACTTTCAAGAAGATATTAAAATGTATATTAAATCTTCATCTACCTCCTGTAACAAAAAGGCAACTAAAACTTTGAATGTATGCTCACTTTTTGGTGTTTTTGTATCATTTTTATCTGATAATTATTTTGTGTTTTGAGGGAAGAGTATGTTTTTTGTTGTGTGTTCTGTTTATTTTATTTCTTACTTTTTTATTCCTTTATTTTTCTACTCTCTGTTTTGATTTGTAATGGCTGTATATTGTTTGATCATCCTTGAACCCCTGGCTCTTTTCCTTGGCATATGTTCTGTCACACTTGTATTTGTGAATAAGTGTTTAATAAAAATAAAAAAAAACATCTTTCAGTTCTGCCTGCAGGAAGTCACACCGGTTTAAAAGTGTTATAAATGAAAACAATAAGTAGCGTGATCTGTGCACTGTAAAACAAGTTTTTTTATAATCCCTTCAGCACTTATAAACGATTTTGGCTAATGTTAATGTTATTTTGAGATACAAGTTAATGAGTTTCATAATTTGCAGCGATCTTAAAAACAATCTGTCAGCACATTTGGAAACACAAGCACTCACAACTAGTTTATAATTATAAAAACAACAACAAAACACTAATATTTTCTCTTTATCGCTCTCTTTGTCTCCTTGCACTGGCTACCGGTTGAGGCTCGCATCAAGTTCAAAACATTGATGCTTGCATAGAACAACCACAGGCTCTGCACCCGCCTACTTCCACTCACTACATCGTTATTCGTCCAATTCAACTAGGGATGGGCGTATCGATCCAAAGTATCGATATATCGATACTGACGCGAGTATCGAAAGTATCGATACTCAAACAAAAAATATCGATACTAAGGTGTGTTTTATTTACCAAAAAAAATAATTTGTACAATATGCATTGAATTGGACGAATAACCTTTGTTAGCGAGTCTTTATTTATTCCTTCTCTTTCTAGCTTGTACTTATTTGAACAATGTCTAAGAACTTGGTATTACAAGCACTTCCTGTGTCTGTTTGCCTCTTTAAGAAGAATCGCTTTATGTATCCCCCAATTGTAAGTCGCTTTGGATAAAAGCGTCTGCTAAATGACTAAATGTAAATGTACATTTCACCAAATAAGATCCAAGCACAAATATCTTAATGTATTCAACCTAATAAATCCACACCAAATAGAGTTAAATATCAATGACAGTACAAAGGATATATTTAATACTGTTAACACACCTTGATCATACCTGAACCCAGCATTATTTTTCTACATGAGGACCACAACAAAAACAAACCATGGTTTTGTTTTTAAAAATTGTACGGGATAATTTCTAACCTCTCACTCTCATAGATTTTTTAAAAAGTGCCAAATAAATATCAAACAAGTTGATGAAACTTACCAAGTACGCTTGACTCCCAGTCACCCGTGAAACAGTACCAAACTTCCTGTCTCTTGCAAAGTGCACTTTTTCGAAAAACAGACCGATGAGTGACACCACACAGGCAAGCCGACGTGACATTTAAAGCATCTAGATGATTGAAAACAAAAGCTGCTTGATGGTTTCAAAGGATTTATTGGTAAAATGTATACAAATCTATGAACGTTTATACAAGCCACAAGTGTGACATAAAGCAGTATTGATTTGCTGATGTTTTTGTGTTGTGATGATACATCAGTCATTTCATACATGATGCATCAGTGAAGCAACAGTTCCATCTTGTGGTTTAGATGTGTCCAACCTCGCTTTCAGCTCCTTCAGATTTTCCCTTTCTTGTGTTTCAAGTCCTTTTTTCCTCTAGCACCTTTCTGTTGTTTCGTAACAGCACGTCCTTTAAATGATTTCTGTCCACCAAACTTCTTACCAGGATCTCCTTTTTTCTGCCCTGCAAATCTACAGCCTTTTCCCCCTTTTTGGCCAAACTTTTTGCCTCCTTCGCTCTTCCGAAACCTGTTTCTCCCCTCTAGCGGTTTTCTATCTCCAAACCGTTTTCCGCCATATTTATTTCCCCTGTCAGGCGACTTAAAACTCTTTTTGTCATGAGGAGGGCCCATCCCCGGTGACAGCTTCCTCTTTTTAAAGGGTTTTGGAGACTTTCCAGGACCACGCTTCCTTTTTGCACCAGGAAACATGTCTATGGAGTTAAAAAACAAATTAGAACCAGTGCAAATTGCAACAGTAAAACTTCACAAATGATTTGGTATGACACAATACCTTCGTCTGGTTCCTCCCCTACAGCCTGTCTGTAATACTCTGCTTCGTCCTCAGACTCCTCGGCTGGAGCCTGGTCCTCCGGTTTCCCAGGATCCTCCACTTCATCATCTGATACCTGCCCTTCCTGCTGCCGCTTTCTATTGATGCCATCCAAGCTTTTTTTCCTTTAAGAAATTAAGTAGTTTTAGGACCAAACACAACACAACTTACATTTAAAAAGATGCTGAGTGCGTTGCTATGGTATTCTTTTTTTTTTTAATTTGCAAAAACAAAAACAACTCAAAAAATAAATCAAATGTACAATTTATTTAGCATGCGATGTTTTTAAAGGGGTCATATGATGCGATTTCAAGTTTTCCTTTCTCTTTGGAGTGTTACAAGCTCTTGGTGCATAAGGAAGATCTGTAAAGTTGCAAAGACTAAAGTCTCAAATCCAAAGAGATATTCTTTATAAAAGTTAAGAATCAACCACTCCTTCCTAAAACGGCTCATTCTAACACGCCCCCACATGTCTACGTCACTATGTGGAAATATTAGCATAATGCTGCCCAAATGTGCACGCAAAGAAAGAAGGCGTGGTTTCAGGAACAGCAGTCGTGTTGATGCAGCCATGTCAGGGAGAGCTGTGTGTTTCAGTGCGAAAGCAAAAGCACTTTATTTGGCCTTCCGGAAGTAGATGCAATTAGGAATCATTGGTTAAGATTTATTTACAACAGAACTGCACAACCCAGATGTTTGAATGTGTGCAACGCATTTTATAGACGACAAGTTTTTTGAACCTAGAAGAGTACAAGGCTGGCTGTGCACAAAGGTTATTTCTAAAAAAAATAAAATAAAAAAAGGGTCAATTTGTCACTTTGCTATGACAATCTGGCGCTTCTGAATCAGCGACTGTAAGTATGTTTTGTAATTAGTTTAAGTATTTGCTATTGACTGTTCAAATGCGGAGTTTTGCGCAGCGCAGAGTAACGCGTCATGTGTGTGTGTGTGTGTGAGGGGAACAGGGTCACATCACAGGAGAGTGAACTGCCTGTCAGAAATCATAGCACATCAGCTGTCTTAACTGCGGCTTGTGTACTGCATCATCACTGTGTCTTTCCCGCTACTCTGTTGCCCTTTCGGTGTTCGGCCAATCACAATGCACTGGGTCAGCTGGCCAATCAGAGCAGACTGCGCTTATCAAAGGAGGGGGCTTTGTTGAAAACGAGTGTTTGAGAGAGGCGGGGCATAGAGGACCAACAATAATGTACAGTATTTGAAAAATTATGTGTTTTTTGAACATTAAAGCATGTCAACATATTCTGTTACACCAAATACACAAAATAATGATCTTTAAAATAGCATCATATGATCCCTTTAAAGCTTTTTATTGGAGAAGATTGTTTTGAAGTGATGGCCAGCAATCATTTAGCAAAAATACATAATACCCATCTCAAAACACTGTAACCAAATGCTGTAATATTTACTTCTACGGAAATTCAGAGTCTCCACGCTTAACGTGTGTAATTTGTGTGTGCTTTTTCTAACCAATAGCCTGTATCACATTCAGCGCTTCATCACCACTAGAGCAGCAGATCTACTCACTTGTTTTGATCTCATTTTTCTTTTTTTAGGGCAATGTTTTGTTCTTGCTTTCTCTTCCGTTCTTCTTTCTCTTTCAGACAGGCCTCCTTCCTGTTCAGCATCTCCTGAAGCTCTTCCTCTGTTTTCGAGACTGCAGACAGAGCACATTTTGGATTAGCTTAGTGATACACTCAATAATCACTAGGTTGTGTGTCTAAATGTTCTCTTACACAAAGCCATACTTACCGAAGGAATGATAAAGCACTTTTCCTTCCCCCATGCCTTCTACTATCTTCACCAGCTGCAGAGTCATTCTGGGGCCAATCTGTAGCAGAACAGACTCCCATCATTTTTTAGTAGACACAAACCATCAAGTATCTGATTCATGCTGAATTTTAAGTCATCATAGGCGCATTCTTGACTTGAAGGTTGTTATATGTGATGTGTTTTTTGTGCTTGAGCACTGTGCATGATGAATTGAGAATCCAGCCAGTAATATAAAAAAAAAACAGCCCAGCAAGATGGGTTTCCTCACCTCAGTCAGCCGAACTGCGCTCTGCTGCGAGGCCATGTTTCCACGACCCGAGTACACCTGTGGCAACTCTGTGATGTTGTGGTCCCCGTCCTGCTCTGCCTCGCTCTCTGAAAGGTTGACACCGCTGCAAAAAGTGCAAAGTGTGACTTGTAAAATCACTTATGTATATCCCAAACAGAAGTATTAAGCTGGTGCATCAGAGCGTTTACTTTGAAACATCACTGTTCCATCAATTTTAACATTTCATCATATGCATCAAATGATGTGAATGAGCTAACCTTATTCCTCGGCTGGGATTGTGTAGAGCTGTACTGAAACTGAAATTTGGACCTTCAGCCTGTTGGGTCCCATTGAAGTCCACAATATGGAGAAAAATCCTGCAATGTTTCCCTCAAAAACCTTAATTTCTTTTTGATTGAAGAAAGAAAGGCATGAACATCTTGGATGACATGGGGGTGAGAAAATGATCAGGAACGTTTTATTCTGGAAGTGTGCTAATCCTTTAAGTGAAGAACAAATGTCATCAGAGAGAAGATTGAGTTATGACATCGATTAAAAATTATAAGGTCTCAATTTGTACAAATTATGCAAAAAAAACAAAACAAAAAGACGACATGCATTCAGAAAACTGACAGGGTTATTTCTCATCTCATATCGCCTCTAAAGGGATAGCGCGCACATAAATAAAATTCTGTTATTATTTACACACTCTCCACTTGTTCCAAACCTATACGAGTTTCTTTCCTCTGTTGAACACAAAAAGATATTTTAATGAATGCTGGTAACCATTCCAGCTATGAAAGTCATTGACTGGTCAACTGAGAAGATTGAGTTATGACATCGATTAAAAATTATAAGGTCTCAATCTGTACAAATTATGCAAAAAAAACAAAAAAAGACGACATGCATTCAGAAAACTGACAGGGTTATTTCTCATCTCATATCGCCTCTAAAGGGATAGCGCGCGCACAAATAAAATTCTGTTATTATTTACACACTCTCCACTTGTTCCAAACCTATACGAGTTTCTTTCCTCTGTTGAACACGAAAAGATATTTTAATGAATGCTGGTAACCATTCCAGCTATGAAAGTCATTGACTAGTCAACTGTTTTGTTCTTTTGTGTTCAACAGAAGAAAGAAACTCATACAGATTTAGAACAACTTGAGGGTGAATAAATGACAGAGTTTTCATGTTTGGGTGAACTATCCCTTTAATAGTCACACTTCAGTTAACAGATATAGTTCCTAAAAACTACAGAACGCTAAATATACAGCAGTGAAACACTCGTCACAGCTGTTACTATTGTATTGACCAATAAGCATCCATGATACGTTTTATAATACAAATATACTCACCATGTTTATACTGTTTTCTGTTTTGGTAAATATTGAGAAGTGCGTGATTCCTAATGGTCCGGCCACTGCAACAAAATCTTCCAAGACGTTTTTCTTCCGCACCTGCACAATAAACACATGGATTTTAGTATGTAAACACAAGACGTCGAATAAGCGCCGAGCTGAGCAGCAGCAGCCAGGAGTCGTGAGGCGCACCTTTAAAGATCTGGCAGTGAACGGCTCCATGACTCGTCTCATGTCCAACACTCCTGCCGATCTGTCCACGCTGAAACACGAAGGTGTGCGGCACAGTGGAGTACGTCTCCTCGGCCACAAGACTAGCAGCCTTTCGGCCTTTCTTTTGGCTCTTAGTCTATGAGACAAAATCTATTTTACCTTCAATTTGTATCGTCACTAAACGATCGTATAAATTACTGTCATGCGCTAGACACTGGCTGAAACACGAAGGTGTGCGGCACAGTGGAGTACGTCTCCTCGGCCACAAGACTAGCAGCCTTTCGGCCTTCCTTTTGGCTCTTAGTCTATGAGACAAAAACAGTAACATCGAATTTATTTTACCTTCAATTTGTATCGTCACTAAACGATCGTATAAATTACTGTCATGCGCTAGACACTGACACGTTTACATATTTACGCACACATTTACATTTCCAAATCTCATTCTCATTTAAATGAAAAAGACAGACGGACTAGCTGCACTTCATATTTGCAGTTAAGTCTGGATGCAAGTTAAACACAAACCTTTGTTTTCCCCATTTTTAAGGACAGTACAACTTATCCAAACCGAGAGCGGAAAACTGAACTTGACTTGACTTGAACACGAATATCGTAGGTAAAATATCCCACATGTCTTGTTACCTAGCACCCATCTTGAAAATTCTGGAACTTGCTGCTAAGCATGTGGCGTGTTTGCGCATGCGCAGAAGCTGTGGTACTACTCAATGTTTGATTTTATACGCGCCGTCCTTTGGATGGGATGAATAGATGCACTGTATATAGATGCATTGGTAGGTTTAATTCAGCTCCTACATCGAATTTTAGGCCGGTTTTGAACTCTAGGTTAGGTTTTGAATGTCCCATTTAAGCTTAAGTTAAATTTAAAGGAAATATCCACTGCTAAACTCTGATTAGGCCTACTCTCATTCACTCTCTCACTCTAACGATCTGATTCAGAATCCGAGTTAGAACCTTCGTAAAAATTAAATTGCAGTATTGTCAGCTTTCTTTTTCTTTCTTGTTAAAGTTTTTCTTTAATCCTAAATGTTTAGTTGTCACACTTTTCCTTGTAAACAGCATGTGGTATTCACTATGCGTTCACTAACTACACGATCTGTTGTAAAGACGTTGTCCCAGTTTATATCTACTTTTGGAATTCCAAAAATTGTTCAAAGTGAAAAGGGGACAACAACATATTTTAGCATTAAAAATTAGATGTGTGGCTTGAAGATAGAAAATATCATCAGCTCAGTATTAAAACTACAGAAGTTGATATCAAGTCCCCACCATTACAGAACAACCATCGCAATTTTCTTAATTTCAAAGCAATATAATGTAAGTAATCATGTCAATTTTTTTTAGCAATTTCCTGCATGTACTGTAATGCTGCACTATTGTGAAAAAAATTAAGACATTTTTTAAATGAGCTGTATTTTGACATTGCACAGTGATGGTCAGTCTGAAGGATAGGGTGGTGGTGGTGGGTGTGCCTGTGAAAGGAGGAGG